GCCCGCCACACGCCGACAGCTGCCCAGCAGGAAGCCTCGGTAGCAAGTCATCCTCCGCCCGGCGGGGCTGCAGGCCCAGGGTCCCGCCTCGCCTCCCCGCCACCAGCACTACGCGCCGCCCGCGCCGCCCCGACTTCTAACTCCGCGCCGGGAGGGGAGAGGTTAAGTGCACCGCCGTGCGTGGCCCGCGCCGCGAAGGGGACGTGCCCAGACGTTGACGGGGGCGGGGAAAGCCCGGCGGCGGGGAGGCGGGTGCGCCGGAGCCCGGGAAAGGTGGGCGGAGAAGAGCTAGAGGCCTCTGGGCTGTGGGTTTTGTTTGTTTGTGTATCGGTTTCCATCTACGCCTGCGCAGTGGCCGCTTCGCCGCTCGGGGGCCCGCCTCCTGCTTCACCCCCTTCCCTGGTTGGGCACCAAACCCACCCGACCGCCGCGAACTCTGTGGGCCAATCAGAGCCAGCTGCGGTTTCGGAGCCCGAGGAGCTGCGGGGATTGGCTGCGGCCGGAGGAAGGGCTGGAATTCTATTTGGCGATTGAGCTGCTTTAGGAATCCAGCTGGAACCGGTCTGAAGCAGCGCCGGGGCTCCGTCTGGGGTTTCGAGCCTCTGGCGGTAGAGCGAGGCGACCCTGGGCGCCTCCTCGCTTGGGTTTCCTTACTGCACTTTATCGGCTCGTATAAAACTAGATCCTCTCATTATCGCGCACAAGACCGTATTCTTTATTCCTTCGCTTAACCAAATCTAGTCGGATGGCCGATATGACCAACGCTGGGCTGGGGGCCAAGGAGCCTGACCAAGGACCATCTGCACAATTGGTGCGGCCCAGTGCAAAATGAAAATGCAGAGGTTCTTGCTTAGAAATTATTAAGTACTGCAAGATAGACCGCAGTGAGCCGAGTGCCTGGCCCATCGAAGAGTGGTGCCTTGTGGGACTGCTCAAGTTATAGTCCCTAAGGACAACCAAAAAACTGTCAGCTCAGAGGGAGAAAGACGGGTAGGTAGTCTTTAAGGAAATTAGAGGAAGATGGGTAGAGGAATCCGGCGATGTGGAGCATTTCTAGATGGGGAGATAAGATGGAAAAAGGGGATGAGTCAATAGAGGAAAGTAAGAATGTTAGTAATTTGGACTTCCTTCTATAGGCAGTAAGTAGTTAGCTTTTTGGAGACTCTTAACTGGAAATAAGTGAGTCCTGAAAACAGTGATGACTGCTTGGGGCTGTTGAGCGGATTGGGAGGCCAGAGGAGGAAAGAGACTTGGCCCTGTAGGAATAGTTACACATGGCCCTGGGTTGACTTAGTAGGAAGCGAAGTGGAAGAAAACGCTCTCATTGGCAAGGGGAGAATCAAATGGCAGTCCACAGCCTACCGTTCATCCCTCCTGCTCCTTACATCTACTTGCTTGGGCCCCGTCTTGGCTTTTTTATAGTCCTAGCATTATCAATAACTAGCCTGGGGACTTCGGGCAGGTCACTTCATCTTTCTGGGCCTCAGATTCCTCATCTGTAAAAGGAGGGTGTTGAGCTAGAGTGACTCCAAGGTTCTATCAAGCCCAAACTGATCATAAATCTGCACTCTTCCTTTTCAGCTAGCAACCACCACCAACGTTCATTCTTGGGTTCATTGAATATTTATGGAGTTCCTCCTGTGTGCCAGGTAGTGTATTAGAATAAGAAATAACACAATGAAGGCTGATGTCTACTTTTAGTAGGTCACTGATCCTTCTGGTCTGGAACTTTGTCTCACAGCAGGTGCTAATAGTGACTTGCAGTGGAAATTAAAGCCCATCTCTTAACTTCTATGGGGTGTGAGTTACTCATGTATAACTTGAACCTTCTCAAGACCCTTTCTCTTCTCACTCTTCCAACACCTTCTTATTGTGAAGATTTCCACAAAGAAACAGCATGAGCAAGAGTATGGAGCAATGAGGGGCGTCTGGGTGGCTCAGTGGGTTAAGCTTCTGCCTTCCGCTCAGGTCATAATCTCAGGGTCCTGGGATTGAGCCTGGCATCAGGCTCTCTGCTCAGCAGGGAGCCTGCTTCCTCCTCTCTCTCTCTGCCTGCCTCTCTGCCTACTTGTGATCTCTGTCAAATAAATAAATAAATAAAACCTTTAAAAAAAAAGTATGGAGCAAAGAAATAGCAGTTCTGAATTGCTAGAGAATTTAGAGGAAGGCAGGCTGCAGCGGGAAGTAAGGCTAGGGAGGCAGATAAGGGGAAAGTCATGGAAAGTGTTAAATCCATGCTTAGGAGTTTGGCTTTTATCCTGTATACGCTGTACTTGTATTTGAGACAAACAGATGATACTGAATTATACTATTTTCCTACTTTCATGAAAATATTGGGTCTTACTGATACAGAAATTTAAGGTTAAAATTAAATATAAAAGAATTTGGGGCATCTGGGTGGCTCAGTGGTTAAGCCTCTGCCTTTGGCTCAGGTCATGATCTCAGGGTCCTGGGATCAAGCCCCGCATCGGGCTCTCTGCTCGGCGGGGAGCCGGGGGGGCCCCCGCCCCCCCCCCCCCCCCCCCCCCCCCGTCTGCCTCTCTGACTACTTGTGATCTCTGTAAAATAAATAAATCTTTTAAATATAAAAGAATTTTTAAAAGAGTGTCAAAGCCACTTAGCTTTGACAGGCACACTTAGCTTTGACTGGAATTTCTTGGAAGAAACAAGCAGAGAATAAATACCTGAAAGATACTCAACCTTAGTAGAAATTAGAAAAATACAAATTAAGGTAATTTCAATGAAATAGATTTTTATATCCACTAGCTTGGCAGAAATTAGGAAGATTTGGTGAACTTCTAATTGTTTGAAAACGATTACATCAAGTCTTTATTAGGCTACATATTTGCCAGTTATTTCAGTAACTTCTCCAATGCCACAGTTTCCAAATACCATCTCAGAAACTTTAAATGTGTTCATGTATTCCAGTTTGTCCATGGCAAGTCTGATGTCAGAATCCTGCAGTACTTTGGGTATGATTGTCCATCACAAAACAAACAGAAGTGCTTGCATTCGTGGATTTAATACAAGTTTCAAAACCCTCAAACTACTAAAACAATCCGTAATGTAACTGAGTCTCAAAAACTCAAACCCATCTCTGGCACAGCTGATAGACTTTTCTAGAGAGTGGGCTTACCCAACCACCTGGTAACCACATCTCAGGAAGCTTATTTTTCTCAACATGTTACAGGGAAAATTATATCATTGTGATATTCACAATTTGAGGATTTACAAAGGTTAAGAGATACCCTTCCAACCCATTTCACATACATTCTAACTCTAGGAAAGATACACATACCCCCCTTTTTTTAATGACATCCTCATATTCTAAGACTTGTATGGGATATTCATCGTTGAGGTCAAAAGATTCCTGGCTTTGACAGTAATGGATGTAAAATAATATTTTAAGAGAGAACATTTTGATGGCCCATAATTAAGCTGAATAACTTAGTAGAGTCTAAAGTCCTGTTGAAAGAGAAGAATGGTCAGGTTATATGAATCTAAGATATATAATTAGATATAATATTAAATATATAACTAGTATATTTGGGAAATATTGAAGTAAATTTTGACAAAAAGAAGCTTCTATCAAAATCTAAGATGTATGCTTTGAAATCATTTCATAATTTATGAAAATGATTATCATGTATGATGATCTCTTCACCTTACAGAAAGGTCAACATATGTAGAAAAGCCAAAAAGAGGAAGGTTAGATGAAGATATAGGACAAAGAGAAATAATAAGATGTTTTTACTTATATTATCCCTCTAAAATATTACTAAATATTTGCATAAAGATTATAAGAAGGAATAGTAGAGTGGATAGAAATGGTTTGAAAATCATAACCTAAATACCATGTTTCTGCTGTTGGTAACATGTCATAATCAAGAAATTTTCACTTTTTCTCTCTGCCTTTCTGATACTCTATTTTTTATTCTGTTGCACTGGCATTAATGAGTAAATAAGTAACTGAAGTAGTCTGATTTTTTTTCTGCTTGGTATATGCAGTACAAGGAAAGTTAAAGTACAAGGAAAATGAAAGAAAGAAAGAATAAATTCAAATGATATTAAAATATCTGAAGCATTGAGAAAATACTGCTTTATCTCCACCCTAACGTGAGCACAAGAATGAACATGTCAGGAAGATAAAGAAGATCTCTGTTCTCTGTTTCACTTTAACAATTTAGTGCAATGACAATGTTTCCATATCAGCTAAGATCTTATAGGAAAAGAGAACCAATTAATTTCTTCTCCAGATGTCTTCCTGTTTATTTCCACTTCTAAAGAAAATTTTCCACTGACTTTGATGTCTTCAGCATCAGAGGCATTTTTAGGAGTTAAAAAACCCAACCAACTTTAAACTTTTGCTTTCCCATTGTTTTTATTCTTCCTTTTATGCTAGAGCTATTCTTTGATTTTTTTTTTCCTTCTCTCTACCTTTTCTGTATTCCTCTCTCACATTAATTTTTCTTTTCCATTTCCTGAATCATTGCTTATTTTAGAAGGATGCTGTATTTCTTCTATAGTCACTATAATGAATGAGCCTCTCTCATTCATATGAATGAGCTAACTTTTACTAAGTTATAGGGAAAGAACAAAACTCTGAACAACTTATATACTAATGAAATTAGAGTCTAAAAGAGTTAATTAAACTTTCATATGCCAAACTGTCAGGCATTAGCTCAGATTTGACCATACCTATGTGTATGTATGTATGTATGTATGTATGTATGTATGTATGAATCTACCTATCTATATCTAAATAATTGCTTTTATTACTATGAGAGGTACTATAGCAAAATAATGTGACTTTAAAAAAATGCATAATCACATGTGTATATCCAAATGAATATTGTTCTTCAAAGTAGCATTTAGTGAAGATAGACCCATTATTCCAAATATGTTGTCATTGTTCAAAAAATTTTCAGAAATCATTTTGGAATTGTAAATCCTATTCCCTAGTTACGGACTGGACGTTTATGTTCTCCCCCAAATGTATATGTTGAAGCCCTAACCCCCAATATGATGGAATTTGGAGATGGGCTTTGGGGGGTAATTAGGGTTAGATAAATTTATGGGGGCAGGGCTCCCGTCTAATGGGATTAGTGCTCTTATGGGAAGAGACATTAGGGAGCTTGCTCTCTCCCTGCCTGTGCTCCCACGAAGAGGTCCTGTGAGCCCTGGAGGCAATGACAGCAGCCTACAACCAAGAGCCGAGGCCTCAGAATAAGCCTATTATGTTAACCCTTTCATCTTCAACTTCTCAGCTTCTAGAACTGTGAGAAATAAACTTATATTGTTGAAGCTGCACAGTGTGGTATTTCGTTAGGGCACCCTGAGAAAACTAAGATGCTTCTAATAAGGGAATATTTAGAAATCATGATCAAAAGTCATTTTGAAGTCATAGGGTGATCAAACTGGATTGAAAAATGAAATATGGCTAGAAGCCCTAATTTTTGTGTGTAACTCATAAAGTGTCTCTGAGACAAATCTCAAAAGAGGAGCATCAGAACTTTGTTGCACAACTGTTGAAGTTACTATAGTCCACCACAGTAACAGCATTTAAGAACAAATTTCATTTGGGTATATATGAATATATTTGTTTTTTTTTTTTAAAGGTCTCTATACGGCTATACCCATTAGACTATTAATGACAATTTAATTACATAAAGCAAAGAACAAGTTAACATAGTTTACTTCTTATATACTTACTGTTTTGTTACATAGTTAATATTTTGTTCATCCCTTCCACAACTATTGGATGCTGGACTGTTGTCAAGCATATACAAGGTGCAATGGATACAAGTCCAAGAACAATACTATCTTTAAAGGAATTGATACCATGAATATATAATCTTAACATATTAGTAAATCTAAAGGTTACATGAAAATACACATTTCCCAGAAGAGAAACATGACTTAATGAAATGTTAGTATGCAGTTATACTGTTTTGGAAGAAATGACTAGAAATCTTGTAAAATATTTGTTTTATGACCAGACAATGTATGACTGAAAAACATTTTACTTAAACATTTATCAAATACAGCAATTTATTTTAACTATTATATCCACCAATGTGATGAATAGTCCAAATTAGTTATCAAATCCTATTCTAAATTAGCTTCTTCAAAAATGATAAATTTTGAACTTCCAAAGTCCGTGTATTTCTTCAATTCTGTCATTTTCTCCACAATAAACAAAAATGTAAAATCTTGCAATTACTAAACTATATAAGAGAAAAATCTTAATTGCAACAAATTATCTTTCATGAACTTTGCTATAAAAATTCTTCAAGGAATTAATAGGATCTTCTCATTTTGTTAGGATGGCTTAGTATTTTCAGTAAGGTGACCAATCCTTTTGTAGATGTTGTCACGTTTATGGTAGATGGCGCTCATGAACAGGCAACGGACTGTCTGTGAGTCCACCTAGAAGGATCTGTGATATAAATTCAAAATATTATAAAATGTTATATTCGGATTACATTTAATATTGAACACAACTGAACATGAATATGCATGACTGCTTACTATGAGGAAATGCGATATATAGAATATACATTTTATATGTAACATTTGGAAATGTTACTAATTTTAAACGTGACATTTCAGATAATTAAACCTTTCCTTAATTCATGGGCAACAAAGTTTAAAAAAATAGACTTTTTATTGCTTTCCTAACAGTTTAGCATTTGTATGTAACACCTCCTGGAGAAAATACCAAGTGAAAAAAGAAAATGGCAGAGGAAGGATGGGTTCCTATGATTGACATTTACTTTGCATTATTTCCATTGTTTCTCATTTTGTATGAAGAGAGTTGAATAATCCTCTTTCCTAAAATGGAATATAATGAAATACAGATTTCCTAAGTGTGACTTTTGTTGATGAGAAAATTTTGCCATTTAATCCTATTTCAAATTAACATTTTTGATGGATACCAATTCATTTTCCAATAGACCCCATTTTATTGACAATATATGCATTATAAAAGATAATTTTATATATAGATCTCACACACTTTAAAGAATAAGAAACCATTTGTTTAATAGTGACAAGAAAAATCATATTCACTTAGTTGTCTGGCTCACTTTAGTCAAGCAGTTTATATTCCTGGGCTGCATATTCTGTGCATTTTTCTTCTTGATTACATTCTTAGGATTAGGCAAAGGAAGATATTTCATCAAGTTTTGCACATGTCCTGTGGTAGATTCTTAAACTATGTATGATTAAGTTACCTTTAAGATTTAAAATGATTAAAGGTTGGAAAAATGTTAATACACTGTCTTTGTAAGGATGTTACTCAGTTCTTTGTAGAGCAGAATTCAGGCCTAAATGAAACTATTACTGAACGTACTTGGCACCATTTATATAGCAAAGCTGGTCTTATTATTTCCTTGACCATATTTCTCTCCAAAAATAATGATAAATTTTTGTTTTAAATCTATCATCAGGACAAGCACTGAAACCTAAAAATCTACTAACAACTGGTTCCAATTGAACCTTGCTCAATTCATGAATCTTGACCCAATAAAAAAATAGTACTGCTTGCCATAGGCAAAAAAAAAGTCATTGAAAATAAAGCAGTCAAATTCCAAAAAGGAGACAAATAGGAGTCTCAGTATTTCAAGTCAGATCTGTCTGGTGGGCTTCATCGTAATGTGCTTTTACCTTTATGATGTATTTATGATTTCTTCTATTATAGCCAATAATAGGAAAATGAGAACAAGTGATGAGAAATATGAATAAATGGGTTAGTTTCAGTGTAAGTCTTCAGTGTAAGACTTTATGGCGTTTTTTATTAAATCTATGTGCAAATGACATATGGGCATCACAGTGAAGAGGAATTTTGGCAAAATCCTAATGAAGGCCATACACAGAAGACAATGATTTCCAAACCCATTCCTCTGATCCAAAGAGCTAGGACTCTAATTCCCATCCACTTTAAATAGATAAGTTCCACTTTACAAAAATCTAGTTCATGTATTAGGATTGTGCAGAAAATTTCTTTCTTAAACTGCTGACCTAAGAAAAGAAAAGTTATTTACCTGATCTATTTTTAGTGACTTGGAGGAAATCATCCTCATCCTCATCACAGCTCTCGCAGTTTAATTGTTGCAGGATTGATTCTGACTGGCTTTCAGCTTGATTTACATCTTTCTGTTTATTGAAGCTCCGAAGGGCAAGGAGCCGGTGATGTATTGCTGCGTACAGACATCCTATGTCTTTGGCGCTGGCCTGCATGAGGAAAATTAAGTTGTTAAGAATATAAATAGGGCACCTGGGTGGTTCAGCCAATTCTTGATTTCAGCTCGGGCCATGATCTCAGGGTCTCGAGATCGAGCCCCATGTCAGGCTTCACACAACTCAGTGTGAGTCTGCTTGAGAGTCTCTCTCCCCTTCTCCCTCTGCCCTCTTCCTGCCTCCCCCAAATAAAGAAACTAAAATTTTAAGAGTATAAATAACTGGGGCGCCTGGGTGTCTCAGTGGGTTAAGTCTCTGCCTTTGGCTCAGGTCGTGATCTCAGGGTCCTAGGATCGAGTCCCGCATTGGGCTCTCTCTACAGTGGGGAGTCTGCTTCCCCACCCCCCCCCACCTGCCTCTCTGCCTACTTGTGATCTCTGTCTGTCGAATAAATAAAGAAAAATCTTAAAAAAAAGAGTATAAATAACTTAGTAATAGCCACATTTTAGAGATTTTTAAATCTTTCACTATTAACAAGGAAGGGATCAAATGGCATAAATCTAGACTATAAATAACCCTAAAAATTAAAGAGGAAAAAGCCACTCATCTTGAAACAAATTGAATCTGAAAGTGAATAATCTTATAACAGGTCCCAATTTGTGCATTTTAAACTGAGAAATGAAATTCTATGATTTAAAATTTCTTTTTTTAAGATTTTATTTATTTATTTATTTATTTATTTATTTATTTGTCAGAGACAGCAAGAGAGGGAACACAAGCAGGGGAGTGGGAGAGAGAAGTAGGGTTCCACCTGAGCAGGGAGCCTGATGCAGGGCTCTATCCCAGAACCCTGGGATCATGCCCCTAGCCAAAGGCAGACACTTAATAACTGAGCCACCCAGGTGCCCTGTGATTTAAAATTTCCATTTGAATTTAAGACTATCCTTTCTCCACTGTTTTACACTGTAGAAAAGTGTAGGGTGGATGAAAAAAGACTGCTTTTCCTTTACATGACTGTGTTTAAACATTCTGTGCAAGCCTCCCAGCTCAGTGGGAAAACAGAGCTCATTAGAGCAGTCTGTAATATTGCATCACAGAAATTCAGTGTGCCATCCATTGGGCCACAGAGCCACCCTTCCAATATTGTATCAGAAATACATCAGAAGTCCTTCCTCTCAGTATTTTCTATGCTGTTTTTATGGATGCGATTAATATAAAAAATGATGGTAACAATAACATTGGTATAACAGTTATGGTTACTCCATTCTTTTTTTTTTTCCAATCCTTACAATAAAACCATGAGTGAATTATTTATTTCACCTCTATTAGCAAAAGCACCCAGCACAAGTATTCAGTATATACTCATTTCCCACTTCCCTCTACAGATGAGGAGATTATGGCTCAGAAAGGTACAATGACTTGTGTGAGTGAATATAGCTAGTCCGCAAATGACTGGGCTTGAATGCCAGATCTTTGCCATCAAAGTCAATGTTCTTTTTAGGTGACATGGCAGCGGTTTACTTTTTTTTTTTTAACGTTTTCACAATTTCAAAGAGAATCTAGGTAAATTTTTCTCTTTGCTAATCTTCCAGAAAGCTGTCTTACTTTTCAAAGCCAAGAAATTGAGGGTTGAACAAACTACATGCCAACTTTTTGGGAGAAGGGTTAAAATTATATTTTTTCATTTGAATGTTCTTAAGTTTCCTTAATTACTTTGGGAGAAAATAACTAAAAGTTAAATAGAATATTTTTGTTCCTCATATTGTGCTAAATATTATATAGTAAATGTTGAGAAAATAATTATTGACTTGACTGATTTCGTTTTTTACAATATATGCAAAGGTGTAATTTTTTTCTTAGTAAGTTAATAAATACTGAAAGAGTATTTGCAATTGAAATATAAATACTACTCTGTCACTTTGACTTTCTAACATTAAAATTTAAATATGTTTTCCACTAGTTAACATATTGCCTTTTGCCAAATTCATTCAGAAATATCCATTCAAGAAATTCAGAACAAGAAATTAAAAATAAAATCACAACGATATATTTTTTGAATAACAAATTTTCAGTGCTTAAAAGAATTATAATTCCCAAGAAGTACCATAAGAAAATGCTGGTGAGAATGAAAATCGATTCAGTTTTTCTGAAGAGGAATTTGTCAAGACAAGTCAAAACCTTATCCCAAGAAAATTAACATGTATGTACACAGAGAATTCCTCACAACTTCCTTGCAGAATTTATAATAACAAAAGATAGTAAATTACCTAAGTACTTAATAAAGTAGAATTAGTGGAAATAAATTAGGGTGCATAATAGAATTCTTTTCACCTGTTAAAAGATTTCTTAAAGACCGAACTATTTAATGACATGAAAACACTCATTTTCATTCATGAGTGAAAAGGTTACATACGTGTACTTCATAATCAAATATTAGCATTCTTATCTATTCAACCACTTTATAAAGTATATTACTATTATCTTTATCTGGCAGATGAGTAAAATCAAGTTCAGAGATCTAAATGAGCTACCTGCAGATCATACAGTTTGTACAATACATACATAGGTACGCACACACATATATGCTAAAATATACGACAAAAACGTTAGTAGTGACCATCCGTTGGATAGGAAATTGCGGTGATTTTTATTTTCATATAGTTTGCTTCTCTGTAGCAGGTATCCTACAATTTACGGAGTCAGCGTGTGCCAGATATCGAACAGCACAATCCCATCTTGGCTATTGGTCTCGGCCGCAGTATTAGCAACAAGGAGACTGCTTTCCTTGCTCAAAGTCGGGGGACCCAGCCGGGCAGAGTACTAGGGATTGGCTCCCTAAATGATGAACAGCGTCTGGGCTTGCTCTTACTCTAACATCTTAATAGTCAGCATCACTTACACTTAAGAGTACCCTTACTGGGAGTTAATAAAACCTTTGGTTTTTCATCATTGGGCACTTGGCAACTTTTTTCCCCCCCAGTACTATATGGGAGCTAATTTACTTGTACTCTTACCCTCTGCCTGGGTCACATGAGTACTCAGTCTTCTCCAGTCTTCTGGGTCTCAGCCTATGTATGAAACCTAGCTTTTTTTCAGGTCTGATTCCTGCCAGCTCTCTCTCTTTTGTGCCTGGATCTTGTATTTGAGGTCAAGCATTCTTGCTGCCAGGAAAAGCGAAGGCTGTGCTCCCATCCTGTTACCTTGGAGACTGACTCATGTCCAGAATGGGAATTTGCTCTTGGACTGTTTTTGGTTTTTTTGTTTTGTTTTGTTTTTTGTTTTTTTAATTTACTAGCCCTGTGTTTTTCCATTTCTCACTGGTTCCTTTCTAGTGATTGCAAAGCCTTCTTAGTTTCAGCATTCAGTATAAGCGCTGGGCTGTGTATTCCCCTGGACTGCTAGGAGCCCATCTTGACAACAGTCCCTTTGGTAACTTAGTAAGATTGTTGATAAAATTTCAATGGTAAAGAAAAATGTGACAGTTTGAAGCATATATCAATACCAGTGTCTCAGGACATATACCAACTGATTATCGTAGATTTTGGTGTCAAGCTATAAATTTCATATAAAATTTAAAACTTATATTAAACTGTAAACAACCAAAATCAATGGATGACGTTTGTTTGTTTTTTGCTAGTGGTACAGGTTACAATGAAATTAAACAAATTAGCAATTGCAGAGACCTAGAAATGTAGTAGAGTAATTCTCTATCACTGAACTTTGTTACTTACCTGAATTAAAAACACTTTGATGCTATAGTCTTCTAAATCAGTAGCTGTTATTCGCAAATTTTTGTGGTTCGCTCTTTGGATCTCCATTTGAGCCCAGAGTTTGCTATTGAGAATCAGCCTCAGGCTGCCTTGATTGCGCATAACTAAAATGGGAAGGTAAATATATAAGACTACAGAACAGTGTATTCCTTGACCTTCCTGGGGAATGTGCTATTTTTGAAAGCAAAGTCAATCATTACAGTTGTTTTTCAGACTCTGTTTTCACTATGAAGTTGTAATTTGGCTTGATTATAAGTTAGTTTTCCAACCGAGCTGTATTATGTTGGAGGACTATTTTTAGCTTAAAAGCTGGAATTTATTTTTTTACTATAGTGTTAAAAAATGATGAAAATTTTAGAACTCCTTTGAGGACCTAGTGGTCTGAAGAATATTTATCCAAGAATTGCTTACAGTGGTGAAACTGGGCTTTAGACATTCAAAAAATGGAAGTAGCGAAATAAATGATGACATGGCTATTCAAGATAATATTATGGACCCATTAAGAATTGGGAAGAAAGAGAATTACTGATGTGGAAAGGTGATCATGATATACCATATAAAAGGTAAAATCAAGGTACCCAGCAATGTAAACACCATGCATCACAAATTTTGGCAGGCAGTAGAAAGAGTGGCGTGGAACAAGAGTAGAAAACAACTAGCATCCTGCCTTGGGAATAATGCTTGGTTGGGTTATTTGGAAACCTATTTGCCAGTTACAGAACTGAAGACCCAGTTCCTATTCTTTTAGTCTGAATTCTGTTCCTTACTGGGTTCTCGAGCTCGATATCTGAAGCTCAGTAAACATCCATATATGTGAATCCAACTTCTACCAAGGGTCCCCTCCACAGCTTTGACTTCCCAGTGTTGACCAGGAAACCTACCCACCCTGCCCAGGGTGCCCACTTTCAGTTTGGGCCTCTGAACAAAGCCCAGTGTGTCTTTTCAGATGCCAAAAACTTTCTGAGTGTTTCAGTTTGACCGACTCCAGATTCTCACCATCGCTCTGGATATCAGTAACCACACACTTTTATTTCCTGGGAAACTGGCCCTTCATCTCAAGCTACACGGCCTATGTAGAATGCCAAGAAGAAATGCCAGGGCAAATACTCTCTTTTGAAAAACTATTTTTCCTTCAAAACTAATGTCATCACACACCTTTAAGTCACACGGAGATTACAGTTGAGGTGTGTGCTGGGCTTGCTCAGAGCTGCTGAAGTGCATTATCTCACGGAATTCTCCCAGTTGATCAATTAGTCACGGAGTACTAGTCTCCCCATTGGAAACTGAAGTAACTAGGGCGGGAGAGATTAAGTACCTCATCCAAGGTCACTAGTTAGTCAGTGATAGAGGCAGAACCAGAGCCTGCTCCAAACACGAAGCTGCTATAGCACATTAGAAACAACATTGCTTTCAACAGTCTGATTTGTTGACTCTGATAACACATCTCCAGAAGATGATGTGTATCTATTGGCAGTTTTACTCTGAGAAAGAGTGGGTGGCTGTACAAAACAATTCCTTACTTAGTCTTGACTGGAATGTTCCACAGTCACTGCTTGCTGTGTCATTCAGCCTCAAAGTTCCTCTGCCCCTTTCAGTCCAGGACTGTGTTGTTTTGTTGAATATAAAAAGCTTGCAGTTGATCTAAAGGACAATTTTTTAAAATGTCAAATATATAAAAAAAAATTTTTTTCAAAGTGATTTCTTTCCTATGCTGTAACACTTTTTCTTGTCTGATTTTACCAGAATAACCTCTGTTAATGACTTGTAAACCAGCTTTAAAAATTTATTTAACTTTTAAAACATGCAATTTTTGAATAGTTCAAACATCAAAAAGCAAAAAGATGTACAAAGTGGAAAGTCCTTCCCAGCCCTACTTCTCCATCTGTCAGTTTCCACCCCCTGCAACAGGTGATCGCTGTTGCTGGTATTTTGTTTCTCTTTCTAGAGATATTTGCATGTACATACATGCCAATACGTATGTCCCTTAATTTTTCTGTAAATGGCAGAATACCATACCTATTTTCTGCATCACTTAACAATATATTTATGTGTACCAACTTTTAAATGAAATTAATGTTATTTGAGCTATGTAACTTACGTGAAAGTAAAGGATTAGTGAAACTATTTGCATGTTTAAAAATTTTTGAGGAACACAGCATCAAAACTAGATGTGGTACCCCAGAGTACCATACTATAATTTAATGCTTACCAAAATTAAGTATTACAGTGTATAAGAATCACCGAGATGACTTGTTAAAAATACAGCCTGCCAGGGCCTCAACAGCTAGCAATTACTTCACTTAATCTCAGTTTAATCTGATCTGAGAGTTAGGCTTGGAAGCACACTTGTACCGTCAAATGTATCAGTAAATCATTGGAGGAGAGAAATGGAAAGATTTGGGGGGTAAATGCAGATGGAGAAAGAGAAAGGGAAACCTGCACCTTGTTGAAAAACGATTATGTCACAGTAATTACATTTCCTCTGCCTTGGCTGATCCCTAGGGCAATTAACATTCAAATCCTATGTATATAATACTGGATACCACTATGAAAGTCTTGCTTTATATGAAGTCCAAAACTTATATAGAAGAACTTTTCAAGGACGAGCAGAATTTTTTTAATTATCTTGAACTGAAATTTATTCATCTTATCATTTAAAAATGTCCAGGGTAAGTAGAACTTTTAAATCATAGGATGATAGCACTGATTATAAAAGTAGGCATGAGAAGTGTAAAACATGGGTCTGAAGTTGTTTTAAGACAGGGTGCCTGGCTGTCTTCTAACAGACGAACGTGAACGCTTTTAAACCCAACCATCCAAATTTCTGAAAATTACATATACTAACGTATGAATACAACAAAATGTTGGCTTCGTCTTTGGAAGCCTCTCACGTTTTTATTGAAGCAGCTTTGTCTTCAGGAAAATGATACTTCTGCCTTTATTTGTAAAGGTGTTCCTGCGTATAGAAATTGGCTTCATGTACATACGTGCTGGCAGAAAGAGCACCGGGTGATATACAGACCTTTAATACATTATGCTCTGCTTCTTCCCCTGTTACAACATCAATTTTCTCTAGCAAGCATTTGGGAGATGGTGTAGAAGAGAAAGCAGCAGCTGATTCAATTAAGGATATATTTTTAACAGAGTCTGTGCCTAAGAAAAAAAGAGGGAGAAAAGACACATAAAAGACCTCATTTTCTCTACTGTACAAGCTCTTCATTGTCCCCATGAATATACATGTCCCCTTAGCTTTTTATAACAATGAGTGTTTCCCAGGGCGCCTGGGTGACTTAGTCTGTTGAACATCTGCCTTCAGCTCAGGTCATGATCTCAGGGTCCTGGGATCGAACTCCAGATGAGCCTCCTTGATCAGGGGGAGCCTGCTTCTCCCTCTCTCTCTGCCACCCCCCCCATGCTTGTGTGTGCTCTCTATCTCTATCTCAAATAAATAAATGAAATCTTTAAAAAAAAAAAAAATTGAGCGTTTCCCAAAAGTGAAACTACCCGAGTTTAGATACATCTCTTTAATTTCTCATGGCCTCAAGTAAAAAAAAAAAAAAAAAAAAATCTAAGCTTATGTATCATACAACCATATCTGTATGCTTTAATTTTTTACCCAAAAGTTTTAAAGCACTGCATTATTGTTTTTGTATTTTATAGATATTAAGCAAATGACATAGGAAAACAGGAAACACACTAATTGAACCAAAAAAATTTTTTTAACAAATGTAATAATTCTTACTTGAATTTGGAGAGTTGGCAGGAAATTCTAGAGTGGATTTGAAGGGTTTTTCCTTAGTGTATAAGTCATTTTCAAGTTGAGGGTGGGTAAGATGTTGAGTATCCTAGATGAGGGAAAAAAATACATTAGTGTATTGTATCTCTACAGCTTGCTTTCTTCTACTTCAACATGCAAACAAACCCCACTGCGATGTTTCTGTTTTGGGCTCCCTGTGTGCTCAGCAGGGAAATCCTTCCTGTCACATTACAGGACCTTGGTCCCGATCCTTAGGAAGCATAATGGAGTTACCACCAGCCTACGTCAGGTGGGATCTCATTCCAGGAACAAGGGGAGAAGGGTTAGAGACCTGAGAGGAGGTAGCAGCTGTTCCTGGCTACGACCAGACTAACCTGAATATAGGAGATGAAACTCTCATCTCTGTTGCAAGGTATTTCAGTATTCCCAACACTTAACTTTCAATCCAAAATAATCATACAAGTTACCCAGAGAACCCACTCGCTGTCTCAGAGCTCATCTTAATTTTTCCTCTGAGATAACTTCTGCCAACAATCGCTTTTAAGACTGCACACCTGGGGCCCTGCACAGGTGCTCTAACCAAGGCCAGGGAAGAAAAACTGAGCAATTGCCCGGCCATTTATGATCCCAGAGAGCCCCCTACAGAACAGGGGGAATTAGAACAGCACTTCAGAACTTGGGTTTCTGTCTTTTTCTTTATGAACTCAAAATTCTTCCACATCATTTAATTGGAACTTTTAAGATATTCTGTTAAAACTGGTAGAGATGGGTTTGATTATATCCATTTTAAGAAAATAAACAGGCACAGAAAGTCTCATGACTCACTGGGACAGTGCATGGTCAGCAAACAAGTCATGAGGGCATTCTGACCCCCAAATCACAAGGTCACAGGATTATAGGATTAACCAGAGGACACACACAAGTGATCACTGTAGCTCCTGCCATCCTAGGATGTTATCAATTTAGAGAGACAGGAAGCTCTGTTTCCTTTGCAAGCCAGACTGGAAGTGCTCACAGGAAATGTACACGGGTACCTCCTCCAACCAAATTTCTAATCCCAACAGTAGTTCATTTGCTCAGGCATGTCTCTGTCTCTTCTTCGACTGTAAGCACCTCTAGAATACAGTGTCTCCCTATATCTTTGCATAGCCACTCACCAGGTGTTTTTCAATCCTGGCTGTACATTCAAATCACGTGACACTTAGCCTCACCCAGAGACTTTGATCTAATTGGTTTGGGGAGATGCCCGGGCATACGCAACCCTTTAGAGACTCACGAAAACGAGATGATTGTTAATATGCAGCCAGACTTGAGTCCAACACCAGAGCTTTGGATATGATGAGAACACAAAATATGTTTGGTAAGTTGAATTGGATGTTAAAGTTGATCCTGTGGGGCTTGGAAAGTTGTGTGTGTGTGTGTGTGTGTGTGACATCTTACAGAAGCTGTGGCTAATCTAGTACCAAATTTAGGACTAAACGATATGGAAGAAATGTGCCTAAATGTATTGCCTAGAATTTCCCTCTGGAAATTGGTCCATTCTGGTTCAGATTAAAAAATGTAGGTCAACAGCCCTAGAAGTGTGGATTTGCCCTTCACCTTGAGAGTGACAGAGGGTGCCCCTAAGCTAGAAAGCTATGACACTACTCTCAGAATTTAGGTTTAACCTGAGGCAGGTGTAGAATCAACCAAGTCTTAAAAGGGATTGATTTGTGAAAGCCCTAAAAAACTTGGAATACATAGGCCTCATGGTTGGTTCTTTGTTATTCTGAGCCTCTATACAGGTTTTTAAATCTGTGTGGCCTCCTGTGGATCCTTGATGAAATTAGTAGTCCTCATGCACCCTCACTGTGGAGGGCACAGTGGCAACCGCTTCATGGAGGAGGACGCCCACTTCTAAATAGGGATGCTGGTAATACTCCTTAACGGTTTCCACTTGGCAAGTATGTTTCCCTAGGCAAGTAAAGTACTGTGATTTTCCTCTTAAAACCTGAAAAAAAAAAGTTGTGATAATGTTTTTCACTATAAAAGCTTGAAGGGGAGGGTTGTGGTTAACAAGAAAAAATAGGCAAATGGTTTTAAGTGCATCTTGTTATGAAAGATGCTATCAAAAACCTGATATTAAAATATCATTACCAGTTAACTCATCTATTGCAGATAATTCTGGGATTTCCTTGGGTACCTTGGGTGTAACTCGTCGAAGAACTATTTAATATTTCTCATCACTAATAATGTTATAATTACATAATTCCCTTCCTCTGTGGGTTCCTGCCTATTATTCTAACAACGAGAACTTGCTTCCCAGGAGAATCTTTGCAGTTAAAGAAAGAAAACGTGCCTTTGGACTCAGGAGTTAAAGTATGCTCCAATTTAACATTGTTTTAATTAATTTGCCTCCAGAAACTCGAAGTGACGGCTTTTATAATAGAAACATATGCCAAATTCTTACCAAAACTCTTTCTACCATGTTTTCTCCAAACACGAAATCAGAACTGCAGCTTTTAAAAGAATACTTATCTTCCTTTGCTTGACATCTAAGGAAAGGAAATGAACATTTGTTCTTTAATATAGGGATAAAGGCACATTAGACCTTAGCACATGAAGTAATCCTATGATTTAACAGATTTATGTAAAGCATAAAAACATCTGCTAACTCTTGTTCATCTGCATCTGAGAAATGAAGGAAAAATTGAGGTCCTCCCAGGGATGATATTTAAATTATTTGACAGCTGTGACAGCATATAGCTAAGACCAGTCCAAACACATGTCATGCCCATCACTGTTCAGGCTGTGTAATCAACCAGGGGCTGGCCCAGACCTTATCTTCTTGCTTTTCCAGCACAGCCTCTCCGATCTCTCATTTCTTCTCACTCCTCCCCAAGGGACTGATGCTTTCAGCCACCAGAGGTCTCCAGAGCAAAAGCACAGCCAATCTATCTTGTTATACTTAAGTGTGCTTTTGTTTAATTTGGGTTTTTACCTCCTGGAACTTTTTTGTTCTTGTCGTTAAAAGTGTTTTGCATGGGGGCGCCTGGGTGGCTCAGTGGGTTAAGCCTCTGCCTTCAGCTCAGGTCATGATCCCGGGGTCCTGGAATCGAGCCCCGCATCAGGCTCTCTGCCCTAAAGGGAGCCTGCCTCCACCTCTCTCTCTGGCTGCCTCTCTGCCTACTTGTGATCTCTGTCTGTCAAATAAATAAATAAAATCTTTAAAAAAAAAAAAAGTGTTTTGCATGATGAGAAACTCAAAGATATGCGGCTTTCTATCTGTAGGCTGATGTGGTCTGGGATCCCCACTGCACCCCAGTGTGCAACATAGGTAAGTGCTATGGAATCCACACGGGCCCTAATCATGTGAGTCTGGTTATCTCTATGGCTAATTTTAATCATCTCTCAGATCAAACATGCGTTCATTGCTGATGACACCGGTAAATACTAACTTCCATTTTGCACACTTATACTGCTTTCTTTGTTGTCTATCCAATGTATGTCAATAAATAAGGAATAACACTAAAAATAATGAGAGATGGTGGGGTGCGGGGGGGTGCACCAGAGAATGGGGAGGCTGATCTAGCAGCCAGATAATTAATTCCTAACTAAATAAAAATTTAGCTGTATGTTCTTGAAATATTCTCACCTAAGTCAACAAAACAATAGAGATAACCTGATATTAATACGATAATCTTTAAATATTAGAGACATTTTGAAAAGCATTTTAAATTTGTGTCTTTTAGAAAATCTCAAACAGAAATCTTAGCAATTTGGGGCACCTGGATGGATCAGTCAGTTAAGTGTCTGCTTTTGGCTCAGGTCATGATCCCAGGGTCCTGGGATCGAGTCCCACATCAGGCTCCCTACTGCTCAATGGGGAGTCTGCTTCTCCCTCTCTGTTTGCCTCTCCCCCAGCTCATGCTCTCTCTCTCAAATAAACAAATAAAATCTTAAAAAAAGAGAAATCTTAGCAATTTATCTGTCTAGTATCAGAAACCTATTTTCCATAAATGATGATAATGATAAAGCAAGAATAAAAGGGTATCCTTTCTGTGGCCTCATCATTAACTTACCCTACTGATGTAGCACCTAAACAATTCTGGTTGGTAGTCAGCTGGACTGAAATTCTGGCACTTGGTAAATTTTCACTTAGCAAAGAGGAGTTCCCCTCAGAAATCTGAAAGAAAGGCAATTCATCAGAAGGTTCCTTTCAATTGCCTTACTGAAGGAGCATCAGATAAGGAAACATTAGTTACAGTTAAATGTATTGCAGAGTTACTATGTTCAAATACTACCCTAAGCATTTTGAGAACTTTATCTCATTTACTCCTCACAACATCTCTGTATAGGTTGTATGTCTTTTATCCACATTTTATAGTTTACAAATGAGTAAACTGACGTAATGAATTTAAATAACTTGGCCAGGCTTGGGCAACCAGAAATGGGGCTGACCTTAGAGCTAGGGTCTGTCTGACATCAGGGACTAGGGACTGTAGCATTTGCTATTATATTCAGAAATCCCACTTCCTTTTGGTACTTTTATGTTTTTGGAATTAATTCTCATTTCTAGCTTCACAAATATATCCTTCAGGACTATTTAATCCTGAAAATACCCTAAGAGCTTCACCAGCACGGCCACCAAATGTTAGAGGAAATCCCATTCATCTCTTCATCTAAAAATTTTTGACTGGTGACTTAATCAACTAGTTACTCTGTCTGCTGTATATGAAATGTTTATTACCTGATTAATATATAAATGAAGGCGTGAGCAAAACTGGAAGGAGCCCTAGAAATGATCGGATCTAGTATCTCCAATGTTTTAGGAACACCTCCCTTCCCCCAGCAGGGGTTTGTAAAGATGTTTCAAGGAGTTCATATCTTTAAAGGTAGATGGGGTCTGTTTCCACTTCAATTTTATATCAATCAATAAAAATAATTTGGAGCATTTTCCCCTTTATAATAGAATTTGAGAGCTGAGAAATATGTATGAAGAGAATATATGTTGTTGGTTGCAAAGATCAAAGTGCATGTTCATGAGTCAGTCACTCAGATGACTTATCTCTCAGTACAAATGGTAGTTTTTACTCTTATGTACTTAAAATGGTTTTTATTTGGCATATCTTGTTTAAATTGTACTTAATAGGTGACCACTGATTGATGACAGTGAATGAAAATTGCTCTGATTTTATATACAAGTCATTAAGGAACATGAAAATAGCAGTTCTATGAAATTCACCTGTAGATAATTTTCACTAGATCTGTAAATTACATTATTTTGTCAGAGTTCTTACATTGCATTTTATATAGCATGTCTTTAAATTTTCAGAGGTCATTATTAGACAGAGAAAATTCAATAATGGGCATATCCAATTAAGCTGTTCACTAATAAAGTGCCATTCATATGTTTAATTTATTCAAGAAGAAATGCTTGCAAACAATTACCTGAAAATTTCTCTCATTGTTTATCATTTAGAAAGAAAATGCAAGAATAAATTTTATTTTTAAAATATATAACGCAAGGTTTCAATAAACCATACCAAAGAAGAAATATTGATTTACTTTTTATATCATAATATGTAACAAAAAATTTAATCTATAATTTATAGTACATCCTGTTCCAAAGTTATATGCAATATGATAACATTTTAGAAATTAGTCAACATATCATACTTTTTCTTACATACTTCACACAAACAACATGCATCTCTTCTTAAATGGATAAAAGTAAGAATTTATGTAATGTAATGATGATTATTAGGTTGTATTTAAATGAAAACTTTTAATAATCTACTGATTTGAAATTTAAAACATGTTTTACTTAAAACTCATGCCATATTCCATGCAGAAATAATGAAATGATTTTTAAAATTCACAGTGAGTCTCATGAGATCATATCTCACAAAGAAAAAGGCTTGGAATTACAAAAATGTTGTCAAATGCTGACCAAGTTAAACTCTCACTTCACTGATGAAAAGAGAAGATTGGGTGATTTGACCAAGAATGTAAACATAAGTTAGTTAGGGGCAGAGGTAGGATTAGTACTGATCTGATTCTTTTTTCATTGCACTGATGAAATGACTAGCATCTTAATTTCCATGTGTCCCTGTCTTCGTGTTCAGTATTGAAAAACAAAACAAAACAGGAGACCAAGCCTCAACAGTTCAGCTAGAAACAAATGAAGAATGGAATGACTCTGAAATCCTGGGTGCCGTTCCTCTCAAGTATTGGCTTCTGGAAGACACAGCAACAGAATATCCCCAAACCCGTATCTGCATGGCTTGAGCAAAATGACAATCTTCCTAAGAAGGCCCACAGTGAGGGACTCAGCTATCCACAACCACTGGAAGGGAGACTATTTCTCTGTCTTCAGAAGCTTCCCCAGTCCTCCCATTCCCAACTCTGTGTGGGTAATTCCCTGCTGCCGTTATCCATGAAGATGGATCTGGATGGATTCCTGGTGTGAGCTAAACTGGCAAGGCCGCACTGGGATGTCAACCAGCTGCGGATGCAGAAAACGCCTGTTCCTTCTTTGATTTGTGGCTCCTGGTCCTGGCCACCTCATTGCTCCCCCTGTTCTCATGAGGAGTCAGTGCCCTGGAACAAGGCCCCAGGAGTTTCTACCATAAGGGACTCAACTTTACAGCTAGGAGACACCACAAAACTAGTTTCTAGGAATACTTTCCATTTCAAGAGGACAACTTTAATAAGGTCACCGAGGGCTGCTTCCTCTGTGTTTCGTCTGGGTGTTTCTCCAGCCTGGCAGCTGCTTCAGCAACAGAACTAAAGTCAGGCAGCCCCTAACGCTGAACGTAGGGCCCAGAACAATCTACTAAATGAAAGATGGAGACTTGATGTCAATCCCACTATAGGAGATTTTCTTACCTTATTTTTTGTTTTTTCCTTAGTCTTGCAGGATTCCAAGGTATTGTGTCCAAATGTTTTTCTTAGTTTTTCACACCTTTGAGCTTGAGGTGGTTGCAAAACAGCAGGTCTTAGGACATGATCGGAATGTTTCACAGGACCTTAAAAGACCAGAATTAAGGAGTCACTATATCTTTAGTGACATACTTCTTCCTCCAGATTTTTGACTAATTTAACATTTATTTTCTAAAGTCATCATTAAGTGAGGGATTAATGTTGACTGATCAACGTCAAAATAGCCAGTGAATTGCTTAGTGCTTACTTCAGACCTAGCTTTTACCCACTACCTATTCATCTTGACCCTGGGACTTTGCTTACCAAATTTGTTTTTTCACATTTTGTCACTTGACCCTACCTCCAGATCCCAACACACACACAACAAATTAAACTATAAATGGTAAAATGTAAAATTTCAGAGGTTCTTATAATAAACTACATACCTTGTTCTGTACTGTTCATATCCACATTCCTTTGCACAAGAGTTGATGTCATAAAAACATTGTTTTTCTTCACTGCGAGAAAAAATATTTAGTGCATTTTAAATCTGAGTCAGTTTCCAGGAATTCGGGTTTTAACAGTCCTGTACTACATTCACCAGTAGATGTCGCTGTTGGCACTAATAACTGTAGGTAGTGAGCTGAGAAGGCAGTCCGCTAGAAATGGGTGATGGCAGGGAGTTCTGCCACATATGTCTGCTGACTTTCAGAAATATAAATGAAAATTGGTCCATTAATGGAACAGGCACTCTTCTTTAGAACCATGAAAATGATTACTGAAATGAGTACATATTATAAAATCTGATAGTAGTGAGCCCTCTGTATTAATATATATATATTTTTTAAGATTTTATTTATTTGACAGAGAGAGAGATCACAAGTAGGCAGAGAGGCAGGCACAGAGAGTGGGGGTAAGCAGGCTCCCCGCTGAGCAGAGAGTCCGACGCAGGTCTCAATCCCAGGACCCGGGGCCATGACCAGAGCCAAAGGCAGAGGCCCAACCCACTGAGCCACCCAGGTGTCCCTTAATATGTATTTCTTATAAAATGTTATGAAACTAATAGCAAATTCTTCCACTTTCCCCACTCTAGTGATACCTAGAGAGAGATGATTGTTATGCTAGGGGATTTTTCTATGAAGTGTGTTGGTGGCATAAGACTAAGGATGGTGGTTGCAATAAAGGACTATTATACATCTAAAAGTGATCACCTCCCTCTTGGTTGCAAATTGTAGAAACAGCAACCTTTGAGGATTTGATTAGTGAAAATGAGAAAAGAATAAGAACTGCTTCATCTAAGTATTAAAAATACTACAGGGGCACCTGGGTGGCTCAGTGGGTTAAGCCTCTGCCTTCGGCTCAGGTTATGGTCTCAGGGTCCTGGGATCGAGCCCTGCATCGGGCTCTCTGTTCAGCTGGGAGCCCGCTTCCCCTCCCCTCTCAGCCTGCCTCTCTGCCTACTTGTGATCTCTCTATCTATGTCAAATAAATAAATAATGTCTTTATTTAAAAAAAAAAAAACCTACAAAGGTTGGGGTAGAATCACTTATCTAATTCAAAGTTCAATTAAATGCTTTATGATCTTTATTATTAAAAACCAGCAACAAATGGGCCATATCAAATTGTACTATTTTTCTCCATTCCAATACCACCAACATTCTGCACAACATAAAATGGAATGGTACTTACTGATATCAATGTTCCTTTAATCTTTTTGTATGTGTATGTCTTATTTAAAATAATAATGAATCAAAACAATTACTCAGATAACTTATATCCATCCCTTCACTTTATGCACAAATACAATAAAACAAATTCTCTAGGATCAGGACCCCTATTTCTTTTAATGTCTGTAACTTGTCATTCAGGTTTAAAGGGGGTCTACTGAGCTTGAAAGTATTTCTTCTGTATCTGAAAGGTATCTGACATGTATGTTGCTCAGTCATGTTTGGAATTATTAATAAGAATATAAATTCATTAGTTTGAAAACCCCATGGCTCCCATGTAGGAAGGGATCATTTAGAAGGAAGTGAATAGTTTGTATTTTTTATTTCTTAGTGGCAAGCTTAACCTGGAAAAGGCAGCCGGATGTTCAGTAGAAACAAAAACAAAAAGAATATAAAATTGTAATTTCAATGTAATGTTCCAACCATTTCAAATATTTTATGACAAGATCGATTTCATTAGCAAAGCACTCTAAATGTCAAATTAAAAGAAGTAATGTTTTAGTGAAAAGTTTAAGTAATCATATTCTAAAAATATAAATTGGGGTGCCTGGGTGGCTCAGTGGGTTTAAGCCTCTGCCTTCGGCTCAGGTCGTGATCTCAGGGTCCTGGGATCGAGCCCTGCATCGGGCTCTCTGCTCATCAGGGAGCCTGCCTTCCTCTTCTCTCTGCCTATTTGTGATCTCTGTCTGTCAAATAAATAAATAAAATCTTTGAAAAAAAAATCTCCCACAGGAGTTAAAAATATAAATGAAAATAAAAGGAATCATATTCTCAACCTTAGAATAGTCACCTAAAGCATAAATTTTGGAATAAGAATTTAAAGTATAGCTGTATATTTTGAGCACTGTATATATTATAAACACATGAATATTAATGAATAAAATAAAGTTATCTTATGGAGCTGCCTTATATCACATTTTGCTATCATAAACATAAATTCCTTAAAAGCATCATCAAACTCAAAATTTCTGCCAAAATTAGATACACTGTCTGGATTCGTAGAATTTGAATTCATAAGGCATTCTACTAATAATAATTTGCTAAGGCCTGCATTTTATTTGCCACTAAAATGCCAGCATTTTATAGTAGCTGAGTAAGAAAGCTCACCATTAGTACCATCAGTGAGAATGGATTTTTTTTTTTAAAGATTTTATTTATTTATTTGACAGACAGAGATCACAAGTAGGCAGAGAGGCAGGCAGAGAGAGAGAGGGGGAAGCAGGCTCCCTGCTGAGCAGACAGCCCAATGTGAGGCTCGATCCCAGGACCCTGAGACCATGACCTGAACCGAAGGCAGAGGCTTTAACCCACTGAGCCACCCAGGCACCCCGAGAATGGATTTTGAAAAGTCAGAGTGTCAGGCTCAAGGTTCTAGAAGCTGTTTATTACCTGGCCCAGAAGGGGGGAAGGTCAGGAGGTTGGTGAAGGATGATGATCTCATTCGATTCTGGGACAAGGTGGATGCTAGAAGCAAATTGCAAACTGAAGTCAGTGAGGAAGTAGGTTTTTGTGTTTCTTTTGATTTGGACTTTTGCTGTTTCTAAAATTTCTATATCACTAATTTAGAAAAGTTTTTTTTTTTTTTTTTAAGATTTTATTTATTCATTTGACAGACAGAGATCACAAGTAGGCAGAGAGGCAGGCAGAGAGAGGGAAGCAGGCTCCCTGCTAAGCAGAGAGCCTGACGCGGGGCTCGGATCCCAGGACCCTGAGATCATGACCTGAGCCGAAGGCAGAGGCTTTAACCCACTGAGCCACCCAGGCACCCTAGTTTTGTATTTTTAACCAATAGAAATAAAATATGCCTGTCATGAGAATTATAAATTAATTTCTATTCAATTCAATAAATATTGTAGTGCTCCCCATGTATAAGACACTCTACCAGGCATGAAGACAACCTCAAGGAAGGCGCAGTGGAGGAGACAGACATACACAGAGATAGCTGTCTTACAAGGCAGAGAGGGCAATGCGGTCATGTATAAAAGGAATCACGGAGTACTTAGAGTATAGAAGCGAGGCAAACTGAGTTACTGGTTTATTCAGAATAGAGTATGTGATGAAGTTCTTAAAGTGTTCTTTTCAAGGCAGACATCTATTTGTTTAAGTAGATGGTAACTTAGAAATGTCAGTTTCCCCTAATTACAAAGTTAATGCATACTCAATGCAGACACTCTGGAAACATGACAGAGTGCAGAGTGGGTGGGAAACCCCAAACTGCCTGTGTAACCCCCCTACCTAAGATAACCATTGCTGGCATTATGGCTGATGTCCTTTCCATCTTCCATCCCATGTTGACAAATTGAATTTTTACATAGTGACTGACTGTACAATCCATCTTATAGACTGCTATTTTTATCCAGTAATTTATTATAAACGGTCTCCAATGGGTAGACTTTTAAACATTTCCCTTTGAAAAGTTTCTCACTAATTTCACACAGAGAAAACATAACAGTGACCAGCCAACAGTCAGGTCTATACCTACCTCCTTGGAACTGAGGATCTGTCGTATGCAAAGTAAAAGATGAAGACCGTGCACGCTTTCTTAGAAAACCGCTGGATTCTGAAAGAAATTCAACAGGACAGGTAAAATTGCCAGCAATAACAAATTATCCTCAACCAAGATGGGAAAGGACAAATAGAATGAACTTTTGCCTACATAGATCATCACCTGCTGACATGTTAAGTCCTGAAGCCCAAGTTTAAACACTGGGGTTAATAGCTTGGTGATTTTAAAGTGATAGGCATCTCATCCTCCTAAGAAACCCTTAGAAACAAGTGGCTTCCGCAAGAAACTGCATGTGACTTTTGAGATTGTGTAGGGAATGTCTTTGGTTGGTGGAGAGACCCAGGCGCTGGAGAAACAAGGGATCTTAGGCATTAACATCAGTTAACACTAACATCAGTGTTCCTACATGTCATCTTTCAAAACAAAAGCCAGTTTATTTGGTGTTTAAACACCAGCAGAACCATGAAGTTTTCCCCAGTTCTTGCCACATGCCAAAACACTTGTGCCTGCTTCTTTTCTTTGTCCTAAGACAGGTTGAAATACAGGATGTAAGTCATTACCATGCTCTGCTGCTTCAGTGTCTTCTGCTGGTCTCTGGAAAGAAACAAAGTTGCCAATGAGAGCTGAGTGTTTGTTGCATCAGAATTCGACCCTGTCACTTTAGAAGAGAATTCTCAAAAGCCGCGTCTATTCAGCTAGGTCAGGGCAAACCCACTCACCTTTGCTCCTTTACTCGCTAGGCATATTTTCAAAACAAAACAAAGTCTTAGTGGAGCGGTTTTGTATTTCAGTGACTGCAGACTCCCTTGTCAGAACTTGTTTAGAAGGAAGATTTGAAACACCAGCTCTCAAGATCTGAGTTGTAGGCCTGGGGTGGGACCCAGGAAACTGACTTTTCGACCAGGGCAACTGACTTTTCGACCAGGGCTGGGGGGTTGAGCGTCTCTTCTTCTTTTCTTTTCTTTTTTTTCCAAGATCATCTTTAAATATTTTATTTATTTATTTGACAGACAGAAATCACAAGTAGGCAGAGAGGCAGGCAGAAAGAGAGGGGGAAGCAGGCTCCCTGCTGAGCAGAGAGCCCGATGCGGGGCTTGATCCCAGGAACCTGAGATCATGACCTGAGCTGAAGGCAGAGGCTTTAACCCACTGAGCCACCCAGGCACCCCTGAGCATCTTTTTAGTGAGTTTGTGGGTAGTAGGGTAAATGACTTGGATAAGCAGGAACAAATAACAGGAAAATATTAATTGAGCTAAAGTGGGAAAGCTACTAATCTTATCGTTGGTCCCTCAAAGCAGGTGGTTTCAGTATGATATAGACCTTAAGGGACCTTAAGATCCCTTTTAAATCAAGCATCACAGTTTAGAACTTATTTTGTACCCAGTTTTAGGCGAGGTCAGTGGAGACCCATGAGGAATTTCGACCCTCCTAACCTCTCTCAGTCCCGCCCCTTTCCAAGTCACTCCAAAAAACCCTATAATTTTGGTAAAGATGGTATGTTATTCATAGCTTCAAGACAAGGCAGGCCTCTGGCCTCCCATTTAGGCCTAATTGCTTCCAGTAAGAACCTACTGTAGAAATATTTTAGAGGCTCGGCTCTGCTAAGTGAGGAGCAAGAGGATAAACTAAGGCAACCATGATACCATTCAGTGCCACTGGCTTCTTGAAACATCATTTTGTCAAAGTCAAAGTCAAACAAAGAAAATTACCTTGATCTTACCTTAAAAGTGTGTTCTCTCTTTGCAAAAACGAATACTGGTTGAGCAATGACAGATTTTTCTGTAAAAGAAAAAGAACAGACAAAAAGTCAAATTATATTTGGACAAATGTAACACCGCCTAAGGATGTTTGAAGATTTTTGTTGTTTCGTTTTGTATTTTTCCTGCCTTTGGGTAGAATCCAAACTGTTTTTACATGGACACTGTAACTTGCGTATTTACAAATGATTTTAACAGTTAATTACAGAAATAAATACTCGGGGAAAGCGATAATAATGTGTTTCCATAAACAGTGAGATCATCCCATTAAAAGAACACACTTTAAGTGTTTAAAGAAAACAAAGTGTAATTACCTGCATTCAGAATATCATTAGGACATCGTGATTAACATCTTTGCTTTTAGAATGAAAAAATGCAAGGAGTGAAAAATCTCATCTAAAAATAGTTCTTCTAGGGCCACCTGGGTGGCTCAGTGGGTTAAAGCCTCTGCCTTCAGCTCAGGTCATGATCTCAGGGTCCTGGGATCGAGCCCCGCATCGGGCTCTCTGCTCAGTAGGGAGCCTGCTTCCCCTACTCTCTCTGCCTGCCTCTCTGCCTAATTGTGATCTCTCTGTCTGTTAAATAAATAAATAAAATCTTAAAAAAAAATAGTTCTTCTACTTGGGTTGGATCTCAAGGTAAAAATGGTATAGATATATTGCATTCCATCCTTAGAATGATCCAGAAATAATCTATACTTCCTTGATTGGAGTAGTCATATACTAAGCCGTGTTTTCAATATTTAGACTAAGAATCAGTCTTAGTCTTTTGTCCTCAGCCCAGCTGACCTTATTAATCTTTTATGTTTTCTTACCTTAGGTAAGACAACAGAGAGAAACTCATTTACTATAGGGTGTAAATGAGTGATAACAACTTTAAATATCAGGAGTCCAGAATTCTAAGGGAAAATGACATGCTTGTTAAAAGCCTAGGCCCTGAAGTTAGGCACATGTAGCACTAATACTTGGGGAAATAATATGTTTGTACCTTTAGTTTCTTCATCTGAAAACAAAATGAAGATTAAAACAATAGTTACCTCACAGAGTTTATGGGACAATTAAATGGATTTTTGGATGTAAGTACTCAGATTTTTACAAGACAAAAATAAAAAAGAAAATATCTTTAAAGAAAGGATATGAAATATGTGGCATGCCACTAATCCCCATTCCAAAACTCTTAGCTGACATTGCCAGTTTATGACAACTCTCTTTCTTCCTTTCCCATTTTTCCTCCTTTCCGTCTTTCTTTCCCTCTTTCTTTCTTTCTTTCTTCCTCTTTCCTTCTTTCTTAAGTTGAAGTATAAGTGACAACACTTTCTTAATGAGCCCAAATATGATCTTAGAATTTTCCCATTACAGGCTTCCAGCAGCCATTACCAATATATTGTCCTGGAATACAAGCCAAGGTAATTTGCCCTCCCTGGGCTGAATAAATAAAATTCTCACTGAAGAGTTTCAAGGAACTATCAGACAACTACTTTTTTTCTTTACATGCTAGGAAGGGGTCTTCCAGTTCCCTGTAATCTAATCCCATAAGAGTGTCAAAACTCTGCCAGACCACCCTTGCCAAGCTCCTGGGCCCTGTGATCTTGGTTACCTTCTTTCAGTCCAGTGAGTAAACTGTTCACTTTCTCATGCAAGCGTTTACCACACTGGCTGCCCTTGGAGCCAAGCGAGCTCCAGCAGAAAGCGCACAAGAACGTACTGGCATTCCCATCCATATTAAACTATAGCTCAGTGCTCTGTTCCTTCTTGAACAGACTCCTCTTCCAGCAATTACATTAGATTTAAGAAATGAGAACTCCAGTGACTTTGAAAGAAAATAGTCTTTGTGAATGTTCCGGGAATACTTATGAATTAGAATTATAAATTAGCCTCTTCTAAACTGGCCTTAGGGTAGTTCTGCCTAAAATAGCATGAGGAGCTCTAACCCTAGACAATGGACATGCTGACTTTCCCTTGATCAAAACATGCAGCTAAACACAGGCAAAAGCAATCTTCTGGACAGCATTAAGTGTTTCTTGTAGCTTGGAGGACCTATGATAGAGTAAGTACATCACTGTTGTTCATTAATTCAATAAATGTTTATTTATAATATTTTGTGCCAGCCATCTTTTTGAGCATCTTTTTTGTGTATACCCCTGTGCTGGGACAGGGGTACAGACCATCTGATTGAAGGTACAGTAGCCTCAGACTAACCACCTTCTCCCCTTGACACTGCGTGGCACGTGGTTGGAAAGCAGAGACTCTCCACATCTCTTCCTTCATCTGGATTCTCCCAAACAACTCTTTTGGCTTCAAAGACAATGCCAAAATTAAGCATTTATCAAGCCATCAGATCCATAACAGTTTTCTTACTTGACCCAGTAGGAAAATTTCAAAACATAAGCAAGGTTCTTATGATTTTATATATATATATATGTATATATGTATATATTTTTTTAAGATTTTATTTATTTATTTGACAGACAGACATCACAAGTAGGCAGAGAGGCAGGCAGAGAGAGAGGAGGAAGCAGGCTCCCCGCCGAGCAGAGAGCAGAGATAGGGCTCAATCCCAGGATCCCGGGATCATGACCTGAGCCGAAGGCAGAGGCTGTAACCCACTGAGCCACCCAGGTGCCCCTGATTTTGTATTTTTAAATTTATCCTCTTTTCTTTCTGATGTAGTCATTGATCAACCCATTTATTCAAAAAATGTGTTTTGAGGGTTGACTGTGTACAAGACACCTTGCAAGGCAAGAGAGCAAGGACAAGTGGTACAAGATGAGCTGAAAGCGAGTGAACAGAAACTTCTTTTTCTCCTCTTCTAATAAGTATCACAGTTTCCCCCTCCCCCAATTTTAGGTGGGTTGCAAGGCCTTGTCCCTGCCCTTACTTCTGTATGTTTAATGGACGGTCTCTGACAAACCTGCTTCATCTAGGAAAGCAAATGGAGGATTTTCTCAATGAATCATCCCAGAGAAGGAGGTTCAAAAGGATCTGTGTAGCCAAAAGCAGATGCAGAAGAGGAGGAAGACCCTGAACAGGGAGTACCATTGACTCGGAGCAGCGGGAGTGGGGTGGGCTCTGCTAAGGGCCCCAAGTTTCTGCTACACAGTTTCTTCCATGTAGAGTCCTGCAGACTGCCTCTCTCCTGGCTTGGTAGTTCAGGAAAAGTGAAAACTGAGTCGTCCACACTGGATAGAACCAGGCTACTCTAGCCGGGGCCAGAAAGGTTATGGAAACAGTGTTGGCAGGAAAGAGAGTGGCAACAGTCCCCCTGCAGAGGGGCCGGCTCTGCCAAATGGGTCACTTCTTAATTGCTACCAGGACTGGAATTATCCACTTGGACCAAGGCCCTGGCAAGTCCTGCATTTTCTTCTCCCCTTCTTCCTGGACCTATCCATATGTCTGACACATCCTCTTCTCTAATTTCTTCTTGTGCACTCTTATCCCAGGCTCCAATACTGTTCTTTATGCCCCTGCCTTTTTTACTTGTGTCCAGCTCTGGGACTGGTCAAAGCATGGATTTTAAAGCTGTGAAGTGTAATGGTCCTAGAGCTGTTCTGTTGTTTTTTGTTTTTTGGTTTTTTTTAATTACTCTAAGCCTCAGCTTTATCACCTCTCTCCGTATGTATTTTGAAAAGGTTGTCATGAGGACTGAAGCAATGCATGCATATGGAGGACCTGGTACAGCTTCCTCTTCAAACCCGTTTGGAACAAAGCAGAACTTCATCTATCATCCATCCATCTATCTGTCTATCCATCCATTCTCCATATACGCACACATCTCTCCATATATCCAGATATTTGCAGTATCTTCCATATCTACCCATTGATTTATCCACCCATCCATAACATACAGCAATATATCAGACTATAGTTTGCACATAAGACATTCACTAAAAGTCAGATTCCCTGCCCTCCGCCTCCTCTGCCATCCAATGTTACATGCAAGAACCCTATGACTCTTGTTAGTCTCGGGGAAACATCTCATTGTTCCTCAAGGGACTTTCTCTTTCCTTTCACTCATTACCTTATCCTTACCTTATATCCTTGTCCTTATCCTTACCTTACCTTATATCCTTGTCCCTTCTCCTCATTGAGCTCCTATATTTCTTCTTTTACTCTCAGGAAGTTCCTGAATTCAGGCTGTGGCCCATACATAGTTTTTGAGATTGTTGGTCCTCGATGAGTGGTCCAGATTGACCAGTAGCATTACAGGGTGCTTATTAGAAATGCAGACTCTCAGGCCCCACCCCAGACCTACAGAATAAGCATTTGGATTTGACACTATCCCCAGGTGATGTGTATGTATGTATGTATATATATATATATATATATATATTTAAGAAGCAGTCCTCTAGACTATTCCCGGTTTCTTTCATCCGAGACCAAATTTAGGAAGATGGCAGTAGAGACTCATGGAGTCAATGATTAAACCTCCAGATGTTCTGAGTAACCTGACAATTAATGAGAAAATGATTATTACTCAAACCACATACTACGATTGTTATGACTCAATGTCGGGTGAAGTCAAGGGCTACTCTGAAGACTTAACTAGAAATCCCTGTAGTAAGGATATTAAAATATTGACATTGATATTGAAATCAGTCATTCAGCTATTTTGCTTAAAGCAATTAATGATTTCCTCTCTGATGCAAAAGTTGGTTTGCTGCTTTGATGTGCCTAAAATCTGATTTTTTTTCCTTGAAAACTGTTTTCAGAAAATGTCTCTGCTTGAGATTATTGTTTTAAAGATTTTGTTTATTTGACAGAGAGAGACAGCAAGAGAGGGAACGCAAGCAGGGGGAGCGGGAGAGGGAGAAGCAGGCTTCCCGCCAAGCAGGGAGCCCGATGTGGGTCTCAATCCCAGGACCCTGAGATCATGACCTGAGCCAAGGGCAGATGCTTAACGACTGTGCCACCCAGGCACCACTCTGCTTGAGATTATTAAATGTTGATTAAAATATTCATTTCTGCAAGGCAAAAAATCAGGCGAAAAGCATAAACTACATAAAAAACCTTGCCATGGTACTGA